ACAGGACTTTTGTTTGAATTTGATGTCATCTCGTTCTTGGCTAGGCTTAGCTTGCACTACGTTGAAGGTTATGGTGGCTCAAGGACCAGTGGTGGGTTTCAAATTTTTTTCAAACCTCTTCTGTCGGTGTGGCCTGCTTTGTGGGAGTGTCTTGCTGGCCATGTGACTGAGTGGGAGTGGCTTGGCAGTCATGTGACTGGGTGGGCGTGGCCAACTTGTAAAATGTGGTGAAACTCATTTAACAACGCTTGTGGGAGTGGTTTGCTGGCCATGTGACCAGGTGGGAGTGGCTTGCCAGCCATGTGACTGAATGGGTCTGTGTTGCTCAAATGAGAGCAAATGACAAATGCCAGGTCAAAAAGAGTCACCCCAAAAAGAAGCCTATCCTAAAAACTGTGTCCTATGAAGAGGAAAGTCCCCCTCCATATGCCCCCCTTTATCATCCAAGGCAGCAACAAAATGCTAGTGATGGTAATAATCAAGGGGCAGTGGGACAAAGTGACCAGATGGAGAAGCAAAAAGTGGAAAGTCCTTCTAGCAGACCCCCTTCTCCTGCAACCCAACGGACTTCTCCCATTGCTGCCCGAACCAGAAGTCAGCTCTTAGCCCCACTTCACCAAGTGGATCAAAGAATTCTAGATGGACAGGGACAGGTGGAAATTCAGCCTCTATTTCAATACGTCCCATTCACCACCACAGACCTATTAAATTGGAAACAACATTACGGGCCTTTGTCAGCTAAACCTCAGGAGGTTATTGACCTGTTCAGAGTTATTATCAAAACCCATAATCCAACCTGGCAGGAGTTGGAACAGTTGATGACTACTCTCCTTAATGGTGAAGAGAGAGAAAGATTAAATAGTGCCATTGGAAAAATCCTAAAGCCTGTGGACGGAGGTAGCCTTCAGGCTGCGCTAAATTTATGGTTTCCAAGACAAGATCCACAATGGGATCCCTATGGAGACATGACCGTCCTCCGGGAATATCAGGCATTAATTCTCCAGGGCTTAGAACAGGCTGCAAAACCTCCAGTGAATATGTCCAAGCCTTCTCTTGTAATCCAAAAAACGGACGAAAGTCCTGAAGCCTTCTTCCAAAGGCTGGTTGAAGCATATAAAACCTACACCCCAATCAATCCCCTGGATCCCGAAAATGCCCGCATGNTAATAATAATAATAATAATAATAATAATAATAATAATAATAATAATAATAATAATAATAATAATAATAATAATAATAATAATAATAATAATTGTTATTATTATTATTATTACAGAAGCTATAAAATCACAGAAGCACTCATATATATATACAGATCAGTGAACCTAAGCCACGCCCAAGCTATGAGCCATCTGGGTCACCAAACAGTCCCCATTGGCTGACCATGTCTATTCCAATTCATGAACCCTTATACACTGACAAGATTCAACAGGGAAAAGGGAAATCTGAGCTGATATTGCCCAAGCAATAACAAACAGCGTACAATTTTGTTATTTGGGGATGGAGAAATGCTATAAATAAGGCAGACGGATTAATACATGAAGACGACTAAAAAGGAGATATGGATGAATTAAAGAAAAATGAATTGTTTTGTTTAAAAGTATTTTAAGGTTCTAAATGTTAATTTATCATTCAACCAAGTAAGTATAAATATAATACCCTGGATGTTGTTTAGGTTGTCTTAACTCACATTAGGCTTTTGAACATCTCTGTTCTGACAATAATATGCACATATTCAGATCTGCTCCTATACAAAAGAGTCAAGCCCCATAGCAGCTGGGGACTCTGCATGTCTTTAATCTCTACATTATGGAATTGAGACTATTTGTGCTAGAAAGTAAATCTCCCTTTCTCTGGAATAGCTGTTTTGAAAGCAAAGGGGAACAATGCATCTTGAGCCTGTGTCATACACCCACCATGGCCACACCCACCCCGGCCACACCCACCCCGGCCCTCTGAAGTCAAACACAATCTTAATGTGGCTCTCAATGAAATGGAGTTTGACACTCCTGTTCTATATGCATGAGGGAGTCCAAATCTCTGGAGTTGCTGTGGTCACCCTATTTGAAATTGTATGAGCATCACCTCATTCTCCAGTATACAGTGCCCAAGCTGCTGAACTCATTGAATTAACAAAAGCCTGTGAAGCTGCTGCTGGTTGTTCTGCCAACAGTTATACAGACTCACAATATGCCTTTGGCATATGCCATGCTACAGAGGCTTTGTGGAGACAGCGAGGACTCCTGACATCTGCCGGCACTTCTATTGCACATGCTACATTAATCTCTAACTTACTTCTAGCAATCCAGCAACCAACCACCCTTGCCATCATTCATTGCAACACTCACAAAAGAGACAACACCATCATCACAAAAGGTAATACCTATGCAGACACAGTAGCTAAATGGATTGCCACACACCCCCTTCTTCTCTCCATCAATGCACTTATTTTTCAATTACATTCCACTGTCCCTTAAGATAACTTTATAGAAAAAGGGAAGGTGGACAAAAAAACTTGAAACATTTTTTTCTGATGGGTTTTGGCGCATACCAGATGGACATTCCATTGCACCCAGGAAACCTCTACATCTAATATGTCAACAACTACTGTAAGAAGAAAATGGTATGCTCCTGAAGTATACATGGAAGCAGCAAGAATTGCCCATAAATGTCTTACTTGTAAAGGTAACAACTCATCCTCAAGAAAAACCCTCCACCAAGGAGGAAGACCATGGACACAATGACCTTTTGAAAGACTGCAAATCAACTTCACCCAACTACCAAAAAGCAATGGATTCCAAAATGCTCTAGTGTGCTGTGACCAGCTCACCCATTGGGTGGAAGCATTTCCATGCTGTCATGCCACAGCTATTGAAACTGCAAGACACCTTCTTAAATATATAGTCCCAAGATATGGGGGTACCTACCTCATTAGATATGGATAGAGGCAGTGGTGGGATTCAACTGGTTCGCACCACTTCAACCGAACCGGTTGTTAAATTGCTGACTGGTGGTGGGTGGGGCAAGGGGCACAGCGCTGCAATGGCAAACGGGCAATGGACAGGCCCTCTCTTCTCCCTGCTGCACCTCCTTCCCTCGCGTCCACTCCATTTCCCATTTCTACATTAGCAATAGCAATAGCAGTTAGACTTATATACCGCTTCATAGGGCTTTCAGCCCTCTCTAAGCGGTTTACAGAGTCAGCATATTG